TCGAACTTGGCGGTGGCGGGGCCGCGGCGTGCGGAAAGTAGGCAAAACCCAGAAACGGGGCTTGGCGGACGCTAACAGCTGCTCATTACCGTGTTTTACAGTAATTATCGCAACGATGTGCCCGCTTGCGTCGTGGACCGACCAAGGCCTGGAGGAGCGTGCCGAAGGACGCCGAGTTTCGCCCGCGTTGGTTAAACGCGGATCGCTGTAGTAAGAGGAGGAGAGTCTCGGTGCTCCGGAGGAGTGAGATTTGGCGCGCCTGGCGACCCTCCGCTGGTCACCAGGAGGTCACCGTAGCCATGCGGGTGGCCCAGACCCCGCTGAAATTAGTGCTTGGATTTCTTCACCGCTTGACGCCTTCAGCCATACTTCCAGTTCGCTTACTGCGCACGATTTGTTTCTGCTGTAGCGTTTTTCTTACAGTCAAGAATGCTTTTGCCTAAATTAGTTTGTGGTGTACCTTTTTTTTACATTCAAGAGTGCTTTTGCCTGTTGCCTGTAGAGGAAGGACCCAGGCTTTTACAGTTATGACTACCAATAACTGAAAACACAGCTCCCGATCATCATCTTGTGTTTTAAGTGTAGTCAGGCTGTGTTATGACAAGAAGAGTATGTGATACTTGCATACGCCTACTCAAACAGATGCAAATGCAGATCTTCCCTTGGGCTCGTCAGAGTACCCAGGAGAATCCCATTGGCTCCAGTAATATTGACTGACCCTATCACTTGGAATAACGAAGTAAGATTAGCAAGAGGAAAGCAAATTGAATATTAACAATAGTGATTTGTATCCTAACTGTGAGCGTAGACAAAGTCAGACCTGATTTATCCTGTGCAACGTGCTGTCCAAAAATTGTGCAGACGGTATGCCCCGTTCCAAAAAAACAAAATCAGGAAATAGGCTTAATGGCGAAGCAATATCAGAAAATACGCCTAATGGTAAAATTTATTAGACTCTGGAAAATTAAATTCATGAGGGAGGTTGTGGAAACCTCACAGATTGGGTAAGGGTGTAATTTTCTATTAAATTGCTAAGTGGAAAATCCCAGAGGCAATCAATATGCTACTTTTGGAATTTTCCTAAACTTCGCTGTAAGACTTTGTGAAAGGAAACTGGGCTAACGTACTATTTAAAATCCTGCATTATATATTTTTGGGAGGATGCTGAAGCAGCAAAGGTGGATGGATGTCATATGCTGTTCGCTAAATTGTGTGGGTCCAATTAATCTCTGGTACAGCGCAGTGAAGTCAGGTCTGAAATGCAGCAGCTGTGTGCCTAAAGTTTGTGTACAAAAAGAGTATTTTCTCTTTTTCCCCCCCCCCCTCCCCAAAGAGTCTGCTGATTCCTGTCTGCTAACTTTATTTACAAGACTTAGAGCACTGCTGAAACTGTTGCGTTTGACTCTCATCCTTCCCGGGACAATAGGAGAATTTTTATAAAGCATAAGGCCTTCATTTACTGTTCAACTCACATGATGGGCTTTATCCTGCATTTGCCAAAGGAATGTGCTACAAAACTAAAAAGATCTTTTCTGTTTTCCTCCGTTACTCAATTTTGTGAAACGTTTTGGGGTATAATTAACGAAAAAGTGACGGCAGTGTTTCACCAACTGGTCTTTTTCTCCTTTTAGTTCTTCCGTGTTGGATTTTTTTTGCTTAAAGGACACTCATGATTGGAAATGACATTTCAGTCTGAACGCTGCACACTG